GGAGGAGAGGGAGGAAGAGAGTGAGGGAGGGAGAGGAGGGGAGGAAGGAGGGAGGGAGGGAGGGTGAGTCTGTGATGGCAAAGCCAGGCCCAGGCAGAGGTGACTGAGAGGGACTGTCAGAAAGAAATCCTGACAGGAGGTCTGATTCTACACCTACACCCCTTCCACCCCCACCACCAAGTGTAGCAAAAAAACCAAACCAAAACAAAACAAACCACCAGGGCTTTCATTTACTGGTCTGGAGGGAAGGCAAGACATCTCAGTCAAGCAGACTGGATAATAGGGACAGGTGTTATGTGAGCAGCTACAGTTTGGGCAAGGAAGGCACAAGTGTGGCACCAAAAAATGCTATCCAGGTGATATAGCGGGACATTTAGGAGGAGAATGAAGCCTCTCAAGGGGTCCTGTCTAGCAGGATTTTACTCCACCTAACCATGTGTCTCAGGGCAGTTAACCTAAGTACAATTGTCACGAAGAGAAAGAACAAAATAGCTGCCCCATGTTGTTCAAACGGTTACTCAAACTGAAACCCTGTTCAGAAGCACACAAACATTCAATGTCAAACATGCTCATCTGAAATATTAGTCATCCCGAAACCTCAAAGGCCAATGCCTGGGGTTCTAGTGTGTTCTTCACTGCTGTCCTTCCTCCTCTTCATGCACTGCTACATCTCATGAACACTATACCCAATGCCATCACTTGGTCAGTTGATACCACCCAAGGTATCCCCATCCAATAGGGTGCCCTGGCAGCCCCAGACTCACCGTTTTGCTCAGAACGACAGCAGTGAGGAAAAAGCTGTAGAAAAATAACCCCGAACTAACTGCTGCGAGGGTCCAGAGCAGGAAGTCAGAATCTGGGCACGGTTCTGGATCTACGACAGAAAACAAAGCAGAGCCCCACCTGTGGCCATATGAAACCGTAGGGCTCCACTCCCCACATTGTTGGGAAAAGGAAGAAGTCATAGCTTCCAGACCTTGCTGTCTACCCCTCAATTGTACTGGTAGGCCACAGACAAGTCTGGCTGATGGGACAATTTCCCAGGAGTGTCATAGCATGTCAAAGGCACAGGCCATACTTCATGGTGGTTGACACTCCAGAGTGAGAGCCCCGACCTCCCCAGGTCATTTTATTTTAGAGTCAGAATGTCATTAGAGTTGTCACCCATCATGAGCAAGATGACTATGGGGTAGAGAACTCCTAGGGAGAGTTTGCACAGCCCTCAAGATGAACCACACAGAATTAAAGAGCAAAACTGCTTTTATGCAGAGAAGACAGCAGTGCAGAAGGTGCCAGCTTCGGGAAGCAGTTCTCACCAACAACGTAGATCTGGGTCCCGTTGCCCATGCCCGCATAATAGGGTGGTGGGTACATGAGCTCCACCTTGCAGAGGTAGAGTCCTGAGTCCATGGCCCTCAGACCGTGGATGGTGAGGTTCACTCTGTTTCCACTGGAGGTGCCCGAGCAGATGGACTCATCTAGGAAGGTCAACTCCTCCTCCACCATGTAGGTCGTGGCACAGACTTCGGTTACTTGGCCATTGGCCCGTCGAAGCACGGTCACCCGGATCTCGGCAGCTTTGCCCAAAGATGCAAACTCACACACGAAGCTGGCAATGCCCCGGCTGCTGGCCAGCACCACTGCAGGCTGTACCACATGCATGGCTGGCACGGAAAAGCCAAGGGAACTTGGTGAGTTTATGCCCGTTGCTGGACCCAGGTGAGCCCTCCACCAGAGAAGATCAGTCTTCCATAAGGCCCTACAGCTAGCTTTATGCCCCATGGCCTGCTGCCCCATACAACAAACCCCTCGCCTACCCCTGCCCTCTCCTCCCTACCCTCTGTCTTCCAGTCACTCTCCATAAAGGCATTTCCTCATTGGGAAATCATTTCCTCAGGACTGGACAGGAAGAACACAGTTGTGACAAACAGAGGACCTGGTCCTACCATGAAATACATGACTTTGGGCAAGTCTTTCCTCCCCTAGGCTTTCCTCATCCCCACATATGGTAAGAGGGGATGAGTTAGAGAATACCCAAGTGCTTTTCGACTCTTGGGTTCTGGGGCAGAATGACAGGAAGGGAACCACGGTTCAGGAACCACCGTGAGGCGCAGGGGACAGTCTGAAGCACACCTCCTCCAGGCTCTGCCTACTTTCTCAGCTGGCCCTGTGCTCTTTCTCTCACCCAGGAGCCACTGAGCCTTGGCGTGCCGAGCCAACCGCCCCATCCCCGAGGTTATGGTTGTAGGGCAGGAGACACGTTCGATGAAGGAAGCCACAGAGCCCCAGGCACCGGGTCGTTTCCTCTCTAGGCGGAGGCAACCCTGCTGTCATTCCTGTGGGCTTCCCCTGCCACCACCGCCACCGCTCTGCCCTTCCTCTCTCCTCCACTTGAACGCTCTTTGTGTTCCTTTGTGCTTTATTTTTTCTGCCTCTACAGGACAAAGGAAGCCAGCTCTCCATACAAAGAGGCTCACGTCGTCTGAGAAATGGTGGCTTCATATCACATCATCTTCCCACATCATCTAGCCAGTCTTACAAGTGAAACCCAAGACCAATGTTAAATGATGTCACTCATCTGCTCGTACCCTTTGACACTTTACTAACACTGATTGCGAAAGCAAATAAAACAAGGAACATTCAATGTCCTCTGTGATCCAGTTTCAGTTGATCACTCCAGTCTGAGTTTTCAGGATACCACTTCCTGCTCATAGATCACCCTATCCTAGAGATGTTAGTTCCTTCCTCCTGTCCTAGACGACATCTGTCCTTAGAAGAGAGAACAAGATGGTGCCTGCCACTACCATGGCTACTCTAGTTGCGCTAGCTGGAACCGTCTCCATCCCCACCCTCATCTCTGACCATCAGATGCCCTCTGAGCAGCCTTTGCACTATGGTAGTTCCATTGCAGTACAGAATTAAGTTAGAGTTATTTGAGCTAGTAATTGTCTTCTAGCCACTGCCTTAGAGTTATTTGAGCTAATCATATCTCCTCCCTCTTTTACCTGTGGCTCGTGAATTCCTGGGAACTGTAGTTCTATCCTGCCCAAATCAGCACTCAGTAATCTTTATTGCATTGACTCTAAGCCTAAGAAATTCTAAATGTCCTCCCCTTCTCTCAGGAGAGTTCACCCTTGTCACTACTAAATCTAATCACACTCAGTTTCCCAGTATTTATCATGGGAAGGCCTAGTTACAGGCTGAGATAAACTTCCTTTAGGAAATGTATATACTACCGAGGATATTTAGGCTTTACATGTTCAAAACATATGAGTGAGAAAAATGCATATCAATATTTCTTCTCCAGCAAAAGTTAAATCATCAACTTTTGAGCACCTACTTCATATAAACTATATGGTTTCTCAACCAAGAAGGTCTAGAGAGAGACAGGGTTGAGATTTGGTTAAAATGTTCCTCATTTTAAACCCTATAACAAACCTGGTATCCACCTCAAATAGCTGAAAACTGGGAGTCTGCATCTGAGACTCACACATAGATCTGCCAATAATTATGAATCTATTTTATTTTTTAAATAATTGACTAACTCATTTGTAGAATTATTAAAAGGAACTTAAAACTTTGACTTGAGTAAAGAAGGTGTTGTTTCCATGGATTTGCTTACATTTTAAACCAGCTGGCTAATTACTCTATAAAATGAATGACTTAGAGGACCTTAAAACTCTGAATTGTATAGGAAAGAAACCCTTCTCATGATCTGCTCAATGTTTTTTGTTTTGTTTTGTTTTCTTTTAAGGGAAATATTGTGCTCACCCTGATACCCAGCTAAAACATACTCAGGACGGTGGATATTCTTTCCCTCTTGAATAACCTAACTTGACAGTATTTTCTTCCAATCTCATAGATGTGTCTGAAATTGCCCATGTTTCCCAAACAACTCACATGCACTCGTGAAGTCCCTTCTAAATACCTGTCCCTCTGCTCTTAGCCACATCTCTGCTTGCTTGCTGCTACCTGGCTATCCTCTGCTGGCCTTGGAAGGCAGAGCCAGCCCAGCTAGGAGCCTGAAGTTGAACCATTAGCTTCGGGTTCTGCTGTAAATCACTGCCCTTGACTGCTGGAAGAAATGAAACCCAGGTGGGAGAAACACCTTCTCCTCCTTCACACTCCAGAAGACTCACTCACCTTCAGAGAAGACAGGGACAAAGAGTAGAGCCAGGAGGGCTGCACAGGGCCGGGCTCTGGTGGCCAGGTCCAGCCCAGCCTCCAGCCTCTGGAATCCGAGGCCAGCCATGGCCTGTGGGAGCCACGTCAAGTCTTCAGGAAGCAGCGAACACTTTCAGGATCCTGAAGCTTTGAAATGCGTTTGAACCCACACAGAATCAAGGACTTTATATAGACGACTTTGATCCCAGGTATGTGCTACACATGAGCACACACACACACAGCACCTGAATAGAAAGCCTTTTTGTTTTGGTTTTACGAGAAAGGAAGCCGTGGGTTTAGCTGTTACGTCGAAAAGACAACCTCAAACACTCAAAGTAAAACTGAACAAAACAAGCTGATCCATGGATGGAAAATGTACTCAGTTTGAAACTGAAGCTTCGTCTTCACTCTGAGGATCTGGATAACTAGGTGGAGACTTGGAGAATTTCCTGGAGTGCAGAGGTCCCCCAAAATCACAACTTTATCTTCTGGGCATATTTTTACCACCCCATTCATTTCATTGACATCTTCAAAATTGCCAAGCTCTCTGAGCCCTCAAGTTAATGGCAGAACTGGTCAGTGGACATCATTAATAAAAGCTGTGTTCTTTCTGAGGCACCACCCTTCAAGGGTCCCCTGACATGCCTTACAAATAAGAGTTAACTTCTCCTAACTCCATTTAGCCTTTCATTGATAGAAAAATGTCAAAATCACGAGAAATAAACTGAAAATGAGACAGAAAAAAAAACTGTCTCTGGTTTTACAGATTAAAAAAGTATTTAGATGTTCTTTAAAACCTTAGCAAAAACAGAACAGAGTTCGACTGTCTAGGAATAGTCAACCAAAATGATCTAAGAAATTTAAAATGCCCTTAAGAGGATAGAAACTTTTTTCTAATAGGAATCATCAAGCAGAAAATTCGAAAGCTAAGGTTAAATATGCCCAAAGTTCTCCAATCTAGTATTGGAGAACAAATGTTCATCTAGTAGTAGAATACTAAACATTGAGGACCCACCTTAAATCTGGGGCATTCTCATACTTTTCATGCATTTCAATAACAAAAGAAACGTTTATTAAGAACCAATAATATGCCAGGAATTGTGTGCACTTAGGACTGAATGACAAGACAAAAACACAGTTGGTGCCTTAAGGGACTTCTAGAAGACTGACGTGCAGACAGACAGTGGCAGCAGGGAGTATGGCATTTGCCATGTTCATGAGCCTCAGAGCAGCAGATTGAGCTCGTAGAACATGAGCCCAGGGCCTGTCTCTGTACCTCTCAGCTCCCCCTCACACACCTCCTTCCTCTGCTTGTCACTTCCCCTACTTGCCTTTTTCAGGTCTCATCACCTTTACGCATGCTCTTCACACTACCCCCTTTCTCCCATTATCTTCTATTATTCTCCTTCTCATCCTCAAGGACTTAGCTAAACTGTCCCCTCCTCCAGAAAGCCTCTCCTGACCTGCCTCTTCTCTATATTCTCCTAGCACCTTATAGGAACCTTCAAACCCCAGCTCAAATGCCAGCAAGCAATAAATAGCCAAAGGGCACTTACTAATGGCCAGGTCCCAGACTGGGCACTGGACATGTAAAAAAAAAATGAAAAACACATTCCTGCTTTCTAGAGGAGCCTGCAGCAGTGACAGGGACTGACAGCTAGCCCCACAGTTGTGATAGAGTAAGAAAAATGCTGGGATTGAAGAGTTGCATATGCCACAGAGGAGCAGAAGTCATGGGTTGAGCCTGTGGAGGTCAGGGCTTCTAATTGGATGGAAGCCCTGAGCTGATTATTGAGGACTAGGGCAAGGGGTTGGAAACGACATCAAGGGCTCATAGGGCCAAGGATAAGGCTTGTCTGGGATCAGCAGGAGGTGGAAGGTGATGCTGTTAGCAGTGAAGATCAATGAAGCATGACCAAGTTCACAATTTAGGGAGATTCCTCCTATCACAGGAGAAGGCATAGAGAAGAGGGGTTCAAGGGGAAATGAAATATAACCAGGAAAACCAGGAAGGAGACTACTGCAATACCCAGGCACCAGGAGTTGGAAAACGTTCTGTGTAGAAGCACATAGAAATATATTACGATTTGCAGACCTATAATCTCTGCTGCCACTGCTCAATGCTGCCATTTTAGGATGGAAGCAACCATAGATTATATGTAAACAAATGGGTGTGGATGCATTCCAATAAAACTGTATCTACAAAAACAAGTGATGTCTGGATTTGGCTGGCAGACCGTGGTTTGCCAAACACTGATCTAAACTAAGGTAATGACAGCTGTGAAGACAAGGTCCCTAAAGGACTAATCCAAAATCAATGAGTGCAGGGAGGACTTAAGGATGGCACCAGATTTACAGTTTGGGAGGTACTGTGGTGCTGCAGGAATTGTTCAAATGTTTGTCAAGTTTTGTAGGAGGCTCATAACACTCCTACAAGACAGGGGTTATTATTTTTCCCATTTTATAAAGAAAACCAAGGCAATGGGACTTATCCAATCCCCCATAGTAGGTAGCAGAGCCAAGATTTGAAGCCAGTGATACTCTTAGTTGTCACACTAAGGTAAAGACTTTGAAGTCAAAGAGAACTGGATTTGAATTCTGGCATGAAGACCTGCTAGCTATTGACTTGGCGATGAAAGCTCAAGGTCTGCCGGATAATGGCATTTGCTTCTCGAGACTACTGTGAGGATTAAATTAAATAATGTATGCAATGTGTACAAAAGGACTATTATGATGGCTGGCTACTCAATAAACAGGAGTTCATTATTATCACAGGGGCACTGAGAAGACAGAAGCGAAATTTACAGAGATTAAAAAAACTTGGAAAGAGCAGGTCAGAAGAGAAATGATGGCTTCCGTTTGGGCATGTTGAGTTTATGATGTCTGTGGATGTTCATGTGGAAAGACCCAGAAGCTAGTAGTTATCTGGAGCACAGGAAGAGATATGAGATAACAACTGTAGTTTAGGCAACCATGAAGCCAATGATGAAAGTTTCGCAGGTCAAGGCGCAAAATGAGCACTGTATAAACATTCGTCAAATGAGTAGGTCAATGAATGAAAACAGATTAACATAAGAGATGACAGGTTGCCATAGGAACTCTCAAAGAGGTCTTACCAGGTTTCCTAATTATGTGCTTATGAAACTATTTCTGTCATAGCAAGGAAATTCAATGGTTGGGAAAACCACTGGGTGAAAGAATGTTGAAAGAATATTATCTTCCCCCCTTTGCAATTATCAAGTAATGTGTGGGGTGATATATGTGAATGATATATATCACCTCACACATTGCTTGATAATTACAAAGGGAGGAAGATAATTGATAAATCTAGCAGATACTGCCTTCACCAAGTGGTCCAGCTGAAGATCACTTGTGAAGGGATGTTCTGGCATCACGTACTTCCAAATACAATGCTCTGAGGACACAACACCTCTTGTAGAATTATTGCTAAAGTGGTTTAAAATGAATTTAAGCATGAAGAAAGAATTAGGCATTCATATTCGGCAAAATTACAGGCCTGGATCCTTCAAAAAGTGGTAATAACATGAAAAATTTCAAAAGAAAAAACCCAGAAAACCATTATAGGTTAAAAGAGGATACAGAAACATGGCAATGAAATTCAATACGTTATTCTTGATTGAAAAAAATAAACTACAAAGCAGATTATTGAAACACTTGGAGAAATCTGAGTATAGGCTATATTTGATAGTAGCATTGTCTTAATGTTAATTTTCCTGTGATCATTGTGATCATAAAAACATCTTTGTTTTTAGATGATGCTTAAGTATTCAAGGCTTAAGTCTCCAGATGTCGGCAAGTAACCCTCAGATAGTTCTACACAAAAATGTCTGTATATTTGTGTTAGTAGAGAAAGTAAAAAAGAATTAAACAACAGTGACCAAATGTTAATAACTGGTGAATCTAGATAAAGAATATGTGTACATGGTAGTATTCTTACAAATTCTTTGTAAGTTGAAGGTTTTCAAAATAAAAAGTTGGAAGTGAAAATTATAAGGCCAATGACTGCATTAATATTGTAGACACTCTATCTCAGATGAAAATTTAGAGAGAGAAAATGACTTGGTCAAGGTTATTCTGCAGCCCCTTTCCCCACATCTATGCCCCCACCTGGGACAGACCCCTGTGATAAGATCTCCTGGGTTCTCTCCTTGGGGGCTTCTGGAGGGTTTAGCTAATGAGAGGCACCAGCAGGTCATAACACACAAGGAGAGAAAGCAGGGTCTTCCTTCTTCTCTCTCTCCCAGGTTCGGGCCCCGTCTCTGGTGGTGATGGTGCTCCTCTCTACAAGTGCAGCTCTTGTCAGGTGACCCCATCCTATGACAGCAGCCTGTCCTTTCAGTTCTAGGGGTGGGATCAGCATCCACTGTTGCAGGCATCTGGGCGTATTACCATGCTCTGTCCTAACTCTCCTTAATACTCTCAAAGTAATCCTTTCATTGGATCTCTTATTTGAATCACCTGTTTCCTGTTGAGGCTCTCATTGATCCAGTTTTATATCCAGTAAACAGCAAAAACTGGATATAAATCCTGGTCATTCCCATTCAGTCCTTATTTTTTCCCTGTTATCTTACATACAATAGCATATTGTAGCCTACGGGTTTGTATTTATTATAGTCACTCCTGTGTAATCCTGTCTCCCCTAATCCAAGTTCCGTTTCCACAGTAAGGCTTTCATGCCCTTACCACACGCATAGTACCCAGCCAGGACCTCCTCTGTCCCTAGGATAACAGAATTTCTGCATTTCAGTTTAGATCTCAAACTTCTTTATTTCTCTGACATCTCATTTTCAGCTCTGAGGAAAGTACTAACAGGTAAGTAGACTATCAGAGGACTAACAGGCACCCATGAGTTCAGCAGAGTGGCTAAGAGCATGACTGGAATCAGTCAGACACAAGTTCAAATCCTGGCTCTGCTACTTCTAGATGTGTGATCTTGGATGACGTTTTGAAAGTCTCTGATCCTCACCTTCCTCATCTGTAAAATATGGATAATTATGGTAACTATCTTTGGGATTATTTTAATGATTCAATGAGCCTATGCCAATAAATTGTTGAACACTGTGCCTA